AATATGTGGATCAGCCACCTTTGTTGAGTTGTCATATATTCTTTTAACTATCATGAAGACTTTTAACAGATGTCTAGTTAAAACGCTGTGTGTTTCTGTGGCTGCAGATCATTATCCAGCACTGCACTAAACATATAATTATGCATTTCCTCATCCATTTTTCATAATTCCTAGCTAGGTCTCCCTCCAGAACTGTCTCTTGACTGCCAACCTCCTTTCCCTACTATCTCAACATTCTTTTCCACCCCTGCTGCCAAAATTTTTGGGTTTCTGTCTTTGCCTTTTCAGTGGAAAATGTTCTTCCTCTTAGTAGTAAACCCCATCAAGAAAGAACCTGTTCCCCATATTCTGCCTCCTCCCAAGGCTTGTAGACACTCCAGCTTATCTTGGCTTTCCTGTATCTGTAACCTGTCCCTTTTACTTTCAGCAAACAAGTGTGTTCATGGATCTTCATTTTTAAAATGAATTCCTTTGACTTATTTGCCCTTAAAATAATGAAACTCTTTACCAACATCACTAGTGATCACTGAATTTCCTTGAGATTACCGAAATACCAAAAAGATAACTAAGTTCACGTGGTTTTGGACAACTAGTTCTCTTATTGACAGACATCCTAGTTGTGAAAAAGGGCTTTTATTCCTCACTTTTTTTTTTTTTAAAGATTTATTTAATTGTACATGCAGAACTGGGGTACAGGCCAGAGGCCCAGGGGCGGTGAGAGTCTTCACCAGAGACAGAGTGGGGAGCAGAACAGGCAGATCTACGAAGTACACTGCTGAGGGGAGCAGTGGGCGGGTCAGGAGAGGTCTGCCACGCCTTGTGGTCGCCTCCAGGGCAGGCGGGCATCGAACTCATGCGGAAGTGGCTTTAGCTTCTCAGTGCTGTGCTTTAACCCGCTGCGCCACCAGGGAGGGCCTCCTCACTTTTTTTTTTAAGGTTTGTTTATTTATACATGCAGAACTGGGGTACAGGCCAGAGGTGCAGGGGGTGAGAGGATTTACCAGTGACAGTGGGGAGCAGAGCAAGATTGAGATACACTGCTGGGAGGAGTAGGGGTTGGGTCAGGAGAGGTCTGCTGTGTCATGTGGGTCACGCACCTGGCCAGGGATTGAACTCGTGCTGCAGTGGCTGTGATAGTCTCATAGTACTGTGCTTTATTGACCCATTGCACCAAGGAGGACCCTATTCCTCGCTTTTAAATGCTATGACCAGACTTGTACTTTTCAACTAAATTGCAGAATATGATGTGGATATAATTTGTTACGCTTTTAGTAGGATTCTGTTTTCCCCATTTAATGATCATATAGTAAGCAAGCATTTTTTGATTATCTTAAGAATTGGAAGGAACCAGTGGTAAGGATAAAAAGAGCAAATTCATACAAATTTCTTAACAAGTTAGTATGTACATTACTCCAGTAACAGATTTGCCTTTCAGATAATTTCATTTATTCTTAAGATG